CTCATTGCCCCGTCTGTGCAGTTCTACGTGAAAAAAGGGGTTTAGGGTTTAGGGTTTAGGGTTTGGGGTTCAGGGTTCAGGGATTAGGGTTTAGGGTTTTGGGGTTTAGGGTTTAGGGTTTAGGGTTTAGGGTTTAGGGTTTAGGGTTTAGGGGAAAAGCCCTTCTTGTGGGGCACCACTCGCCTCCACGGCTAGGCATGCCAGGCCTATGGTGCCACAGAGGCTCACAACACCGGAAAGGCTCTTACCCCCCAAGGGCCAAAGCTCTGCTTCGGCCCTCACAAAGAAGAGGTTCCCACTGCAAGGGCTTTTGGGTCTTGGTTGCTCAGGCTTGAGTTCGGGTTTCCCTAAACCCTAAACCCTAAACCCTAAACCCTAAACCTCCAAGCTGAAGCCCCCCCCCTCCCAGAAGCACGTTGATGCACAGCGCGAAGGAGATCAGCATCCTCGGCTGCGCGAGCTTGGTTGCAGCTCATCAGCACCCCACCCTTTTTTGGGGGGATCACTGTTGGGATGTTCCCCACTGATAGTAGTAGTAGGAGCAGCCCTTAATGGGGATGACAATCGGGAGTACTAAATTATGCACTCCCCTTTTTGAGGATCTCTGATGGTAGCCGTGCACACAGAGAGCACGGCAAACCCCAGAGAGGCTCGGGGGTACTATGATCCCTACTTTGGACAGTCAGTATAAGGGTGAACATCCCAAGATCCACAAAAAAAAACACCTGAAGTTCCCGCCCAGGGCTCTCGAAGTGGTTGGACTCCAACCATGTTGCCATCCTCAGCTTCAAAAGCTGGCAGGGTTCGACTGCTGTGCATCCCCACATGTTGGCCCCAAACCTTCACCAGAAAAAACGAGACCAACGAACGAGGCCCCGGCATTTTGAAGGGCCCTAGAAAGGGCGAACGTGAGACGCGCAGTTCAGAGGACGCAGAGCAAGGCATGCAAGGATTGCAAGGCATACAAGGTCCGCTTGTACTTCTTGAGCCGCTGAAACGACCCTTTCGAGTTCGCGTTCTTGATGAGCTCCGACAGCATATGGGTATGTAGTAGTGGGCTTCACGTCTTCTGAGAACACAACTCAACACTCCTTCTCAGAGCGCATGAGAAGGCACACGGCGCGAGTAAGTAAAGACGCGGCGAGACACATAAAGACGGGGCAAGGAACGTGAAGATGCAAAGAGCATGTGAGCATTTCGCAGACCGGGAACGCGCAAACAAGCGTCGTGCGAGACGCGCTCTCTTTTGACATGCCCCGAAAAGGAAGCACAAGAGAAACGAGAGCCAGGGCCGAAATTTCCCCAGTAGAAGCTTTCTGCAATGAGACCAGCTCGAGGCTCCAAAAACAGCGAGGGTGACTCTACAAGGAGATCATGAAACCCCGCCACGCATCCCCATCCCTGCGGTCACCTTCGATCACGCGAAGACCAGCCGAGGCTCCAGAAAGCAATACAATTGTTTGCGGGATCGCGCGACCCCGATGCGAACCCTTCCTGCGACCGTACTTTTGACACGCGGCCGTGCCACAACAGCACCCAAAAAAGACAACATTGGGCTTCCGCAAAAAGAATACAAGACGACGCACCGGCGCAAGACACGTAGATGCTTCTGGATGCTTGTGGATGCTTGGGGATGCTTGTGGATGCTTCCAGACATTGAACTTAACTAAGACTTGGCATTCATCAAGTCCCTCCCCCCAGACTCGCAACCCTCAAAACGAGGAGCCTTCGCGACACATTCGGGAAAAACACGCCGCACGGTCTCGGGTAAACAGGTCTCCAGTCGAATTGCCGCGGCACAAGAAACGCACAGTGCCTGAGAATACAAAGCCTCTGACTCAAGTGGCGGATTCTGCAGCCCTATATCCATCAACCCTAAAACGCTCAGCACTGTGGAGGCTTGGAGGAATGCGCTGGTTCGGGGCATCCCCAGATTTCAGCCCGAGATCTGGCTGTAAATGCCCAAAACATCCTGGCTGGTACGAAGGATGTGCTGGGCTCCCTCTGCCAAGCAACCGCTGCCGATAGTTCATACTTCGCCATCGCGCCAACATGCTCGAGTCGGTTTCCTGAGGCCGAGCAGAACCCGAGGGATCTCTGAGAGAATTGCGACCTGCGTGCGATCATGGGTACACGATGGGATTCTGATAGGCTCCTGCTTTCAGCTATATAGGTGGTTCTATGGCGGAACCTCGAATCCGCTTGGCCCAAAAACCCCTGAGAGAAGCCCCCCCCCCTTTTCTAAGAAAAGAGTGAAGCAAAAAATTGAAGCACCACAACGGCAAAAAATCCTCGCGGTGTCCAGAAATGGAAGTCCCCCCCCCCCACCCCCGGCACCCCCCCCCCCTGTGAGGCTTACAGATGCAAAGTGTCTCAAAGCGTTTTGTTAGAGCTCTGTCTTGAGGGCACGGATATGACTCGGCTCGGCATTTATCTTTGGGGGGGGTTCCGCTCTCACTTCCCCTTCTCAGTCGCTCTTACACACGACATTCCTCCCGCGTAGCACAGGCGAAACTGGCCGTGGCTCAGAGAAGAAACCAAACCTGAGCTCTGCTCCGAGGGAAGCACAAAAAAAGGGCTCCGAAGCGCAAACTCCTACTCAGAACTACTCAGCTGCTTCAACTACCGCCACGAGCCCTGCTAGCCCACCCGCACTTGCTGGTCCTTCAATTCCATCCCTGCTGCCCAAAAAATGCGCAACTTTACAACTTACGGCAACTCGGGCTCTCCACCTACGCTCCTGGGAATCGGGGGAACCGGGTTGTCTTTTTCTTACACTTTTTGCTGCCGTCGGGCTCAAATGGTTTAGGGTTTAGCGTTTAAGGTTAGGGTGCAGGGCTTTTGCCCGAAACCGACCAGACCCCCAAAGTGAGTGGAGAGGGGCGTGGCAGACGTCTGCTCGCGCTTGCCAGGGATCAGCTCATGGGAGAGGACGTGATCCTTTTGGCGCAGCGTTTAGCAGCCGGGAATGATGTGCAAAAGGACCCCTCGAGCACACGAACTCCTGAAAAACCATGAAAACACCGGCAGGTGTGGGGTTGCTTTTTGAAAACAAAGCAATATATGCAGTGTAACAGCAACAAAACAAAGCCGCCTCAAATGAAACACTTTCGCACTGGGAACGCTGGCAAGGGTGGAATCAAACACAATTTCCCGTATCAAACCGTCCACGGCCGCTGTTAGCGGCGTGACCTCGCTTTTTGATCTTTTTGGTATGTACAGACATATATATATATATATATATATATATTTTTACAGTTTTAGATACAGTTTTAGATATAGATATAAATATCGATATAGGTATAGATATAGATATGTATATAGATATAAATATAGATCTAGATACTGCATCTAAATATAGATATAGATTTAGATATAGCTCTAGCTATAGCTCTAGCGATAGCTGTGGCTATATACATATATACATATATACATATATACATATATACATATATACATATATACATATATACATATATACATATATACATATATACATATATACATATATACATATATACATATATACATATATACATATCTACATATATACATATATACATATATACATATATACATATATACATATATACATATATACATATATACATATATACATATATACATATATACATATATACATATATACACATATACACATATACATATATACATATAACATTATACATCTATATCTATACATCTATACTATACATCTATACATATATATATATATACATATACATATATACATGTACATATAACATATACATATATATATATATATATACATATATACATATATACATATATACATATATACATATATATACATATACATATATACATATATACATATATACATATATACATATATACATATATACATATATACATATATACATATATACATATATACATATATACATACATATATACATATATATATACACATATATACACACATATACACGCATGTAACTAAATATGTGTGTGTATATCTACACATGTGTATTACATTGTATGCGCATGTATAAATATATACATGTGTATATGTAAAAATGTATATGTACATAAACATGTGGATAGATAAATATACACACACATATATATATATATATACATGTATGTATGTATATATATATATATACGTATATATATATATATATGTATATATATATATTGTATGCATACATATACCTGTATTACATGCAATATATTTTATTGCACATTATGCTTCATCATCTTGTAATATAACTATGTATTTATTTGTGTTCGTACTAGATGTTTTGTTAATGACGACATATTGAAAGGGGGCCCCCCCCAAGCCGATGCCGACGTAGCTTCCAGCTCCGCCGAAACGCCGGATGCGCTCGACGGCACGGCCTCCACGGCCAAAGCCTCAAGGACCTGCAGCGGAAACGGACAAAAGCGGTTTGGGTTTTGGGTTTAGGCCCAGTTTAGGCGCCTGGGGTTCAAGGTGCAGGGTTTAGTGTTTAGGGTTCAGGCTCTAGGGTTGAGGGTTTAGGGTAGGGTTTGCGGGTTTCGGGTTTGGGGTTTAGGTTTAAGGATTTAGGGTTTAAGGTTTAGGGTTTAGGGTTAGATAGCCTTTGCAGGGACGTAGAACACCCGGCACACCCTCACGTACGCAACTCGCACAAATGCACAAGCCTTAGACGGAACAGCCTAAGACGATCTGAACTGCACAGTTGCAGTCACCTTGTCGGCATTCACCTCCGGCAACGCCTGCCGCTGCCGGCACAGCAGCCTTCAGCGATCCACACAGGCCCGAACCGAAAAGGCTGAAACAGAGGAAAGGTTGCTAAAGTTTGCGGCAAGGTACATCACCACACCAAAATATTCTGAATACATAGGTGTTTCCCAAAGGGGAACCACCCCTTGGCACCCCCCAAATGCACAGGTGAAAGGCTCAGTGAAATCCTCCCCTTTCGTGCAGCTCTGGAGCTGCTGCGACGTTGTCGAGCCTCGCCTGTCACTTGCCCGCATGGCCAGCTTTTGAGTCCTCCCCTACTCCCACTCCGACTCCTACTCCTACGACGACGACTATGACGACGACGACGACGACGACGACGACGACTGCTACGACGACGACTTCTAGCAGGACTACTACTGAGACTCCTGCTGCTACTGCTACGACATTCGTACTCTTATTTCTTGTATTCTCAGATATTCTTAAGAAGTGCAACAACTTGCCGAGTCTCCCAAGCTTGAGGTGCTTCGGCTCCTGTGAAGAGATCCCGACCTCGCTGCCTGCGGTGGCGCATTGGGCGGATGAGCAGAGCTCCCTAGACCCCAAAACCCTCCGTCCCCAACGTCTTCGGTTTTCTTTTGAGTCAGCAACACAACAGCTTGTCCTCACTGAGTTCGAACCCTTCAAGAAGCCTCAGAAGCCTCGGAAGGCGCGCAACAAAAGCTCCGGCCTGGTGTGGCGACGCCATTGACGCCGTTCGGCGAGTAGGTGCCGTAGATCGGCGAGGGCGAAGACTGCGAGTGCCGGAGTTGCCTCCGTGAGATGAGATGGACCGCCCAACAAGATCAGGGTACCGCCCACATGTCCCCTTAAAGAAATCCTCGGTTCCAACTTCCCTGCCCTCACGCATCAAGCCCTGCACCCAGATGCTCAGGGGGCTTTGCGGCTTAGGGGTTTTTTGGGGAGCCATCCTTTCAGGGAGAAGGAAAGGTCAAGGGACCAAGGGACCTGTTCAGCTCCCTCGCGGCTTCTGCGTTGTCCATGGACCGGCGGAGGCGCTTGGCGCTGCGCTCGGTTTCCTGGTCTCACAACCCCCCAACACGGCAGAGCGGGGAAGAATTCAACGTAAGCCCAGCGCAAGAACCCACATTGCGAACAAAGACTCAGTTGATACTCTGGTGGCGTCATGTTAGTTCAACAGAGGAAGGGGACATAAAGCCTGACTGGACCACCAAAGTCCACATCAAGCCTCGGGGGGGGCTGGGGCCATATGAAGAAACTCAATGAGACTCAATGAGACTCAATGACCACAGCTACGGATGACAGTCGGGTACATGTGTTGCGAGCAGAGGGCCTGCGCAGGGCATCTTGTCGGCTCCCGATTCGGGCACCCTAAACCCTAAACCCTAAACCCTAAACCCTAAACCCTAAACCCTAAACCCTAAACCCTAAACCCTAAGACAATCCTGCGGCAACCAACACGACTCACATTCGCCTCGAGCCTGTGGCCCAAGTAGAGCAGCCCATGAAAATCACAAGAGGGGGGCCTTGGTGGGTTTTACCTGTATCCCCTCAATTCCCTCATCTGCTCGGAGGCCCCCCCCCCCAAATTGCCCCCAAATCTTCCCCGAATTCCCCCCAAATGCCCCCCCGAATCCACCCCCCCGGCATGGCCCCTAGAGTGGCCCTGGTGATCCCGGCTGAGCTGCGCGGAGTTCAGAAACATGCTGCTGCACCTGCAAAGCGGTGCTGAAGAGCGACAAAGTGGAGGGGTGAACTGTCCTTCGGGCTCTCCGACGTCGTGCAAGGCTCCCTGCTTTTAGTCTCCACTTTAAGCAGACACGTTAAAAGAGATTGTGCCCGAAACCCCAAACCCTCAACCCTAAACCAAGAAAAGGGCTTGATCGCTACTGGGCTTCACCAACGAGTCTCCGACGCCCTTAAGCTCAACGCATTTGGTCACTTCTCCAAGCTGTGGCCTCTTCTTGGGTGCCCTGAATAACTGGGGCCGCCGCCTTATAATCAAAGAGGGGAACCATATTGTACAGAAGCGACCCTCTGAAAGCCCAATGTGGCTGCAGGGGCACCAGCGCGTCGACGAGCGACTGGAAGGCTTTGGTCAGTTTGGGGTTCCTGCAGGGCGGGGGGGATCCGGGTTTAGGGTTCGTGCCTAGGGTTTCAGATTTGGATGTCGTCCTAAACTCTTGTGCCAAGCCTAAGGCCGTAGGTTTCCCTTGCGATTCGCCCTTGCGCCATCTTGCGCCATGCCAGTGTTTGGCCATGCCGGCAGCAACTACAAAACTTCGTGCGTATAAAAGCTCCCTCGGGCCCTCAAATCACAAACCTTGCTCTGTGCATCCCGGGCTTTGACAGCTGTCCTGGCCAAGCCGTCAATTGTTTGTCCACCTGCTTTCTGGGGAAACCTCTGGCTGCCCACCTCCGAAGATCCTCTGCTAAGGCCCATGGCTCCACATCGGCCATGCTGTCTTGCGCTAGCCTTGCGCGTCCCTTGCGCCACGCTTGGGCGTGGCGTCCCGCTGGCAGAACTTGAGAGCAGGGCGAACGAAAGCTAGGGCACAGCAGACAGTGTCGTTTTTCATACACAGAAAACATCGCCTGACTTCTCACAAAGCAAGCTCGTCTAGTACACCCTTCGTTTGCCTGCTGTCGGATGCTGTCGGTTCTGCAGTTCGGGGATTTTGAGACGACGGACGAGAGGGCGGTCGAGGCTGAGGCTGGGGGGTTCGGAACTCTCTCTTCGTTTCTTCTTTGTGTTTTCTCTGTTTTTTGGGGGGTGAGTGGAGTGAAGGGCGTAGAGGTGTTGAGGTTCAGAGGCTTAGAGCATGAGGGATTTTTAGTGAACACGAGGGTTGAGCCGCTCTCGATGGCAGCGGAATCCCTTGAATCGCCGCTGCGCCGGGACTTCGACTGCAGCCCGAACCTTCCCTGAACTTCCCGACCTTGGGGTTGAGGGTTTAGGGTTTAGAGGCTTTAGAGGCTTTAGGGCCTCGGCTTCCCTGGGCTTCCGAAGCCCCCCCCCACACCGAGAGCACCCCCCCAAGAGCCTCCTCTCCGGGCTCTTCTCCGTGGTAAGGACGGGCGACAGCATCGGCCGCTCCGGCAGCTTGCCTCGGAGTTTCGGAGCGACGGGGTTGGGAGGGCAGGAGAGGCACCCTCAGAAGCTGGAAGGGTTGAGGGGTTTAGGGGTTTAGGGGTTTGGGGGTTTAGGGGTTTAGGGGTTCAGGGGTTTAGGGGTTTAGGGCTTCAGGGGTCTAGGGGTTTCGGGTTTAGTGTTTAAAGTTTCGGGTCTTTAGGGTCCTCCAAACCCCCACCCAAACTATGCAATAGCTTGAGGCCGGCGTGTTGTTCAAAGATCGCATGCCACCTTGTTCAAGCGAATCGAAGAGCAGCCCCTTCTACAAGGACTCTGAGAGTATAAGAACTACGCAAGGCTCGACACAAACGATGTAACAAAAAACACGCGCCAAAAGAAGCATTCCGAACTGCTGAACAACTTGGGATGTTCCCCCTTATACGAACAGTCCTTCATGGGCATTATCATAGCCGACCACGGACTGTCAGTTGAAGGGGGAACATCCCAGTAAGCAACTCCAAAAATCCAAGGCACGGGGGAAAATCGCAGAACTGGCGGTCGCAGTCGACTTCCTGGGAACAAATTGTGCTGGCAAACCTCCCAGTCCTAGCCCGCGCACCTCGCCCGCATGTCCCGCTGAACGTCGGAAAGCCGATGGATGTCTTACAGAACAGGGGTACCCCTTGCAAGCCTCACAACACAAGAATCCTTATGCCGGGAGCCCCGAAAAACAGCACCCCTATAGTGTTCCACCCTCTTCAGTGTGTGTCCCCCCCACCTCTGAAGTCGAAGCTGATTGTGTCCCTCTCTAAACGGCTATGGAACTTCATATGGTCTTACAAGGGATGAGCTTATATGAGTAGCGAGGTGTGGCAAATGACTTTCATGGTGCGGGCAGCACGGTCCTTAAGGGCCTGGTAAACGTGACTTTACAGAGGAGACCCCTACTAAGCAGGATGGAACATTCGTGGGAAACCTCCCAGTCAGAGTGACAAAGGCTGGCAAAGGAACTCCAAAAACCCTAAACCCCATCGAAAGCAAAACAAGCCCCCGAGCGTCAGAGGCCCCACATCCATGTCCACGGAGACCTCCGACACTGGCGACATCACCTCAGGCTGGAAGGTTTAGGGGTTTGGGGCTTAGGGTTTGGGGCGTAGGGTTTAGGGTTTAGGGTTTAGGGTTTGGGGTTTGGGGTTTGGGGTTTAGGGGTTGGGGTGTTGGGGTCTAGGGACAGGGACAGGGTTTTACGCATGGGTTTGTTGGGCTCGGATGGGAGTTTATAGGGATGGTCTTGTTGCGCGGCTGAGCCACTGATTTTGCCGAAGGTGGGGACACGACCGAGGCTGCCGAGAGCCCGCCAGCAGAGATTGAAGAGGCAGATATTCCAGAACCAGAGGACGGAAGGGAATTCGGCGAGGGCGCGCCCTGCGCGGAGCTTGGTTTGGGGGTTTGCTTTATGGGGCGGGGGGGGGGGGGCGTTGAGGCGTGCGATTGGGCCCCCGCCACTTTTCATAATTGCTGAGGGGGTCTTCGGGCTGCAGAATGGCCCCACGCGCATCAGAGACGCACCCAAAGAAACCACAGTGGTTTCGGCATAGGGCATTTGGGGGGTCTTTTCGCGGTGTTTGCGGCCTACTGTTAAACAAAGGGTTTCGGGAAGCAGGGGATCAGGGTCCCGTCTCCGAAAGCCACCCCCCTCTCAACAGCCCTCCAAGGCGCCTGTAGGGGAGTCAATGGCCTCAGTGCCCCCCACACTACGCTGAGCACACTGAGCACACTGAGCACACTGAGCACACCGAGAGCCATGGCTAAACCTTGCAGGTTGATCCAGCCCCAACAGCTTCAGTGCCTCTGGAAGCCTGCCCCAACAACCCAAGCAGACGGCAAAGAACGTGTGTTCTCAGTGAGAACGTGCGTGACGCAGCCGAGCCCAATGAGAGCAAAGAGCTGCAGGGCTGAGAAGAAGCGAGAAGCGTGAGGGATCGGATACGCAGAACACGTCCCATCTCAGATTGCCTGGAGGACAACATGGAAGGATCCTAAACCGAAAAGGCCATACACAGGCCGCGAACACACATTCGAAGCTTGGACTGGGCTCCCTGTACTTTCGGAGTCCCTCCTGCTGCCAAGTCACTGCGGCGATTGCACAGGCAAGTTGACACCTCATGCGTGGGCGACGAGCCAAACCCACATCTCGAACGTTCAACAAATATAGAGCCACCCAAGCCCAGCAGTTCTGGGGGGTGATCCAGGTTGTGGGTGACATCCAGGTCCAGCTATTGAACTGCCTCAAACGAGCTTCCCGGCAGCATGCCGTGCCCAGAAATGGAGAAAAGGAAAGAAAAAGGACGTGAGACCTTGGTCCAGGGTGCACACCCGAGTTTCGGCCGAAAGCGGTCTAACCATGAAATGTCCTCTAAGAGCAAAACTCGGCAGAGTTCATGTCGAAAGGACCCAAAAAGAGAGCACAGCCATCTCACAATGATCTTTGAGCCACCTGGGCTGTCGGAAACAGGGAGGAACTCGTCTGCTGGGAGATCTTCATCCTCCTTAGAAAGTCGCTGCTTTGCTTGTGGGGGGGGGGATGTTTATGCACACAGGTCAACGAAGCGAGGGCCCAAACACACGTGCAAACTTCGCAGTCTCAGCACTTTCTTCCGGGCCATTGGTGTCGGAGCCCTTACTCTTCAGATGCCTCCGTGTCGTGGGCCTGTTAGAAGGGTGCATTCCAGATGTCAGTATTGAGAGTCCATGTCCAAAAGAGAAAGAGAAGGAGACCGACAGCCAAGCATCCTCCGGTTCCTCAGGCTGGACCTCACGGATGTCAGGGAGGGCGTAGAAGCTGACCTGAAAGAGGAGAGCAGCAAAGTTCGGTTTCTGTTCTCTGCTTTTGGAGGTTTCGGGAATTCCTGCACGGTCCAGGCTTAGTCCTTGGGCATTGCAAGCAGGGTGCCATCTCTCCCTGCGCTCCGGCACAACTGGCGAAAGGCGGCCCAGTGGAGTCACGGAGTCCGCAAGGCGAGATGAATCGATGTGCGGGGCCCCCGCCGTGCGCCGTGGGAGATCACTACAGGGGTCCCAGCGGTGAAGAAACAAGAATGGCTGCGTTCAATGGTTCAATGGGGCGGCCTGGTGCCTTCTCTTCGGCCCATTGATGCGGGCTTCGTTCTGTCAGACTTTAAGAGTACTAGAGTCTACTAGAGTGGGCGCGCAACGGTCTCGGATGACTTTCCCTTGAAGCTGAATGGCTTGCTTCCCTCATGATTCTGACATCCATGTGCATTTCATGTGTACCCGCTGCACTCTCAGCGTAGTCTTTGAGCAAGAGTCCGATCCCCAACGGCAATGCCCGGCGCGCTTCCCCCCCCCCCACAAGAAACACCGAAAGACCATGGACAAGGTTACAGGGGCACTCTTTGTACAATTCCTACTGCGTGGAATGAAGCCTGTGACTCGGACAGGTCACTAACGACAAGACATCACAAGCTCAAAGCAATCTCACAAGGCACATAGCAACCGAGCCTAAATCTGGCACCGAGAAATGACCCCCCTAAACCTGGTGCGCCCCAAGGGGGGGAGGCTCTGGGGAGTGCCCCTCCTGCAGCTTCCGGCGCGCGTCCTCCGAGATTGGGCTCAGGCCCTGGCAAGACGTCGGGATTCTCTTTCTGCTGAAGTTCGACAATATGCTTCAATATGCCCACAGTCTTCCGCTCTCGCTCCAGGGGCGGAGGCCCAGAAACAAGAACTGAACACTGCAACCCCGGAACTTCCAGATGCACCAAAGGATCGAGGATCTACTCTCCGCCCGGGAACTTCTTGTTCGAAGCCTAGAAGCTCGCGGTACTGCACAAGCTGTGCTTCTCAGAGCGCAGCATCGTGTGCTCTTTCCACAGGTACACCGAGGAAAGCACACCAAAAGCCTTACTCGCCCTTGCCAGGCCTCTGGTCGATGTGAGCATGGTAGTTCCTGCCAGGCCCCCTTTCCCGACTGCAGAGACATCCTGGAGAAGAGCCTCCACAAAAAAACAACCCTGAGACGGCTAAGAGAGAAGGCTGCAGCCTGTAGAAGCTGCTACTGACCTGAACCTCGAACGCACTTCACACCGGCACATACCGGCACCTCCGCGGTGAGGCAGTGGACCTCAGCTCCCGTCACTACACCGCCGAAAAAAAAAAGACGAAGCCCAGGAGCCGATTCCCTGTGTCCAACTTGGATATTTTCGCCGAGAGGCGTCTGGAACAAGCAACCAAGAGGTCTCTCCCACACCTTCCCTGCCCCGCTGTAAGAGAGCTGTACCCAAGCTTCACTCAACACCCTCTCCAAGCTTCACTGGAAACAAGCACACGGGCACTGACAACAAAAGTGCACCCAAGGTTTTGCACAACCTGCTGACACTGCAAGCCTTTATTGCCAATCAAGGCAAACAAGGCTTCAGGGGTCCTCCAGCAAGCCTAGACGTCCCCAAGCTGCACTTACATTGCGGTTTCAGTTTACGGCTACTCTCAACACATCTTTCTTCGACCCACGGTCGCTTTCCGCACCTGCAGCCCGACCGTGCAGACCGGAAACCCGTAGGTGCGCCACTTGGAGCGCTGACATGTTCCGTGGATTGGGCCGGCCCGGCTGCCGAGGCGGCGGTGCGGCAAGCGTTTACAACTTGCAATGCGTGCCCAAGAAGACCCAGCACTTGTCACATCGTACTAACAACACATCAACCGTGAATCTAGGAACTGATCAACCCGTCGCAATTCCACCAGCAGCACAAGCCTGTGCGACTTGTGTGTAGGCCCGTGTGAGTCATGGCTCCAAAACCTCCGGCCTCAAAACCGACGTTTGCAGCCCTTCGGGCCAAGTCAAGTTCCAGATGTGGAATACTTGAATCCATTGTTAGCCCAGAAACTACAGTAGCACTCGGGTCTCCCTACCATTCAGCATTTTGAACTTCTGAGTGTTCTCTGGAACTTCTATCGGCTCAGGCCCCGGCTGCCAGGCAGAACCTCAAGAAACCCCCCCAAACTCTTGAAACTGAGAGGGGAGGGGGGAGGGGAGAGGCGGGGGCTGTTGCTCTTGCAGCTTCGACCAAAAGAGCATCTGTGCCGTGTCCCAAGCTGAACGAAAGAGTCTCAGTTATGCCCTCCCCCCCCCCAACAGCTGCCTGTCCCTGGGGTATGCTACAAGCGAGTGGCTCCGGATGACAAGCCGCATATGCTTCAGCCACAGCATTCGGGACGAAGCTGGTGACCCTAAACCCCCCTACAGCCAATGCTAAAAAGAACCCAGCAAGTGGAGGTCTGAGTTTGCCACTGCCAAGCACAGTCCTGGCTGGTCACACATGAACCCTCCAGGCTTTTGGGGGAAGGGATTGCCATGCAACGGCACATCGAAACCGACCGCCCTTGAGTCACCAAACTCCTGAGGACGAAGCTGCTCCTGTGCCTCTGAAGTTCTCTGAGCCCTCTGACAATGACCTTTCTTGATAAAAGTGGCGCGCCTCGCTAATCTCCCGCAGCGCCGAGCGCAGTGCCTGGCAGCTGTGACGCGAAAAGAACCAAGGCGAGCGAAAGAGAGAAAGAGCACAGAGAGAGAGAGAGAGAGGCATGCACACGCACGCACACACACACACACACAGACACAGAGACACAGAGATACAGAGACACAGAGACACAGAGACACAGAGACACAGAGACACAGAGACACAGAGACACAGAGACACAGAGACACAGAGACACAGAGACACACAGACACACAGACACACAGACACACAGACACACAGACACACAGACACACAGACACACAGACACACAGACACACAGACACACAGACACACAGACACACAGACACACAGACACACAGACACACAGACACACAGACACACATACACACAGACACACAGACACACAGACACACAGACACACAGACACACAGACACAGACACACAGACACACAGACACACAGACACACAGACACACAGACACACAGACTATGCCCAGGGGGCCTTCGCCCACGGCGGCTCGCGTGATGGAAGCACCAGGGCTAAGGGAGGCTCTCGGAAAAGCACCTGCGTTTGCCGCCGAGGCTTTCTTTAAGTGCTTGAAGAGAGTTCCTGAAGTCGGGCAGGTCTGCCCCCAAACAAGACCCATCTAAACCCCTCAAAAGCCCGGTCAAGCAACACCCAAAAAGGCCTCGCCCTCGGCAATGTCGCGTGCCGCTAGGGTAAGTTGGCCGCGATCCTCAACGCGAAGGCCCCTTTTATACCTTTTTGACGTGTCTATTCCATGAGAGATCCTACGAAAGGGGTACCCATGTAATCCGCACCCCAACCCATGTCAAGTGCTCTGCAAGTGTTCTGCAAGCCCTGAAAGCATGGGCCTGCCGGGGCCAATCTTCCAGCTGCTTAGGGATTTTGAGGGGTTTTTTGGGGTTCTACAAGTCATCGCATGCAAAGCATGTCGGCTCACGAACACAAGAACACCTTTTCAACCTCCAACAACCCCCCCCCCCCTCTCGCGCTTCAAAAAGATTAAGCTGGCCCTTCATCCTCGCCAGTCTCCACCACTAGCGGGCCGGCCATGGCGTGACAACAAAGGTTTGCTATGGGTTCAGGGCTTAGGGTTGGGATGCTGTAGGGTGCAGACGGGGTTCGGGGTTCGGGGTTCGGGCTCAACCTGAGTGATCCATCTTTGAATGCCCAAACGGTTGCCACAGGTAAGATCCCCACAGTTCGGGGTATGCGTGTAAAATGGCTGGGCCGACATGTCGAGGCCTTGCATGGACGGCAGTGATTCGTGGACCCGCAGCTTTCACCCTCCGAATGGCGACGGCTTTTTCCCATGGGCCGAAACACATCTGTCAGAGCTCCCTGCATGTCTTCAAAGCTCTGCACTAGAGGGGTGCTCCACAAGAGTAGCAAAATAGGCAAAGAGAAGCGTCAGCCCCTGGAGCAACCGGGTAAGTGCACACCATGAAACCGACTCGTGCTTTTCAAAGGGGCTCAGAGCCTCTGCGAGTCGTCGCCTCGACCTTGCCCAGCGTTCCAAACGCCCAGTCCCACAGCAAGAAGTTCTCTCCGAAGTTCTTCGCGTTCTCCGCGTAGTTCGAATACTTGTGGTGCGCGTCATGCACCGCAACTCCTAGCCAGCGCGGTCACGACCTACGCCATCCAAGCCCCCCCATGCACTCCTCCCCTGATTCTAGCCGGTATAGTCACGACGTCCTACGCAGCCCGGCCTTTCGCAAAGCAAGGCACGCTAAGTCGCTAGAAAAGCCCTGAAGCCCCTGAAAGTAGCGTGCCGCTCCTGCACGAAATGGGAGGTCTTTCAAGAAGATCAAGTTTATCAGCCAATGGTCCATGCCACTGTGGTTCACCACATTCTCGGCCACACGGGCACATGTGCAGGCGTAGAAGGTCAAAGGGTGCGGCTGGGTCAGCAGCGCGCACATGACAGTGGGAATGCCGGATTGTATCGTCACATCAAGGCCGTCGATGCATGCAGTACTCGCCGGCGTCGGGGTGTCAATCTTATGATGGTACTTGTGGTAGTCCCATAGGTACTCGTGCAGAATGCGGTGGCCAACATACAGCAAGAAATCGCCTGGAATGGCTCCGATGCTGGTTGGGACGCAGGCTGCTTTCAGCTTGAGCTTGTAGCTTCAATGGGCAGAGCACTTCTGAAGCCGTCTGGCAGAAAATTCTCAAACTGCAAGGTACGGTACTACATATCTATGACGTTGAACCTATCGGCTCAAGGATATTCTGAAGCCTTTTTTGTTTCTTTCTGGAGACCCAACACAATAGTCTCCACGTTCAAGGCTTCATGCACAGGGCTTCATGTTTCGGTCCGCTACACGGCCTGCCGTGTGTGTACGTGCACACATGTTTTTCGATGTTTGTGTTTAGGTACATGTGGATATATACACACATAGATCACAGGTCTACACAACTTATGTAAAGCCAAACCTGGCCCAGCGACCAATGAGCTCCATCGCCACAAACTTGCACAGGAAGTCAACACGCCCCGGGAGCAGCGGGAAGGAACGGCCAGGACTCACCATCCGAGGCCTGAGCAGTTCTGAAAAGGCGCGTTTATTCTGACGACGTGCGGGGGGGGGAGAAACTTAAGGCTGCTTGCACAGTAGAGGTTACCTGCTGAGCCCTGAAAGACACCCCATGTCCCCCAAGAAGAGCCAGTAGAGGGCCCCCCTGACATTTTGACCGTCGAGAAGCAGGACCACTGCGGCCAGGGCCGAGTTCAGGAGTGCCGCGGGCCCCAGCAGGGTCCAGGCACTGACGCGAAGCTGCGTCCAAAAGGGGATCTTCTCTCCTCGGCGCCAGAGGCCGTTCCCCTTTTGGGATGCTTTCGGGGGCGGCCCTTTTGAGGCTTTCCGGCTCTTCTTGCGTTTTTCGCGGGAACATGCGGGAACTCTAAAATGGAAACCCCCAGAGATTAAGCTGAGTGGTGTAGTCTGCCAGCAGCGCATTCACTTGTGTGAACCCGAAGTTTCATCCTGATCAAAGCAGACGTCCATACATGGGCCACTAAAGTGCAGCACTCCCCGCAGCATCCGCCACCACCCACCAACCACCGAACGAGGGCTTTAAGAGCTGTAGGCTTTGGAAACTCAGCCGAGGGCTCTTTGCATGCTAAAGTCTCCGAAATCCGATTTCCAACCCCTGAACTCCAAACTTGTGTAGAACTGAACGCCGCACATTCTGCTATGTTCTGCTATGTTCTGCTATTTACCCACAGCCTCTGATGACTCGCGTTTGGCACGAGTTTGCATGCAAACCCTCCGTGCTACGTGCGATCATCCCTGCGGGCTGGCGGCGGGTCTTTGCCAAAGCTGCTTCGCGCGGCTGGCCGTATTCGATGTAGGACCTGCGGGCTAAGCCACTGCTGATCATCGTCTCGAGCAGGCCACAGGTGCCAAAGAACCCAAGGTTCACCGACAGCAAGGCTCCCGCACCCCAACTGAGCCAGTCATTGTCCAGCCAAGAACGTAGGAACTTCTGCCATGTGACCATGGCTCCCAAGAATTTATGTCTTAAACCAAGTCTTTTGCTGTAGCTGCAGCTGTTGGGTCTCCGTACGTTTGCGAAGTCGTGGCTGCGCACTGGCTAACCCAAACATGTCCGCCGGGCTATTGCAAAAAGAATCGCACGCCGCCCTGCAAAGCGAAGGGGCAAAGCAACACACACGCAAGCCAACCGCCTGAAGAACCCCAGGCCTGCTTAACTGTTGCAGGTGCGCAACAAACGCAAGCCGGGCTCTCAACCCAAGAAGCAACTTCTCTTGACCCTGCTGTTACGTGCCGGATCTTTAACTTGCGAAGCACGAGGAACGACTTTTTGTTGCGAAGGCGTCAAACCAATAGGCCAATAGGGTAAACGCAAGGCTGTGAAACAAACAATGTCTCTTGCACCTTCGACGGCTGTGTCAAACAAGCAGTAGCATAGCTGCCTTCTGTGGTCAAAGTCTGATGTGATTCCTGCTGTTGCCCTTCGGAACGGCAGCCACACGGACAGATCACACAGATCACGCAGCGCATCGGTACTTTAAGTTCACCTGCTGCAGTCGCATCCACCACATCTGAAAAGGGCAACTGCCACCCCCAAGAAGAGCAGGCTTGTGGGCAAGAGCACACCACCAACAATGGTAAGAACTACGGCCGTATTTGCTGCGGCCTCAAACTCTGCGGCCGGATCAAAGATTTTCAAGCCAGCATCGTTGTTCAAGCCGTACAGCTCCGACACGTCGCCGGTAGCCTGCCAACAGGTTGCATCCTGACCCACTGAGAAGGTGCCAGCGACTTGTGCGGAAGAATCACAGCGACCGCTTCGAAGGACCAATTCCTCTCTGGACAGGAAAGTGTCACCTTGGTGCAGAAATTTGTAGGTGTAAATGTCGTAGCACACCTTCCCTTGACTCTTGCCACCTGAACCATCATTTCTTTCTTCCGCCCTGTGAAGCACTTGGCTGATCTTGCATGTGCCCACAAGCGCAAAGTCTGTTGAAGGATCCGCGGAGGACGCCTCCGCCTGCTGCACCAGTCCCAGGGGCAAGATGACGCAGCCAGCTATGAGGGCAATGCTTCCCGTGATCCCCAGGAAGTAGACGAAAGTAAGTCGCACTGAGCACATCTGAAGGCAACTCTCCTTTCTACCCGAGTGCACGTGCGAGATAGCCTTCGTTGCTGCGGTGGACTCGAGCACTCAACAAGCCTGTTTCTTGAAGGGAGATAGGAAAAACCGCCTCGAACCCTCAGCCATCCACGTGACTGATCAAAAGACAAGGGGCCCACTGCTCGCGTACGTAAGAAGGTCAACCCAGCTTGACTGTAGCCAGCCGAGGCGAAAGTGGCGAAACTAGCAGAAAACAAAAAGCGCAAGAATGTCCGAATTTCGGAACCAGAGGCCGCTTTTCTCGAGGGAAGCGAAAGATGATGATGGGAACAAGGGTGGGAACAAGTGTTGGGAACACGGGGGAGAACAAGGGTAGGGAACGAGGGCAGGGACCGGGGTTTCTGCTTTTTGGATCTCTAGATACAAACGTGCTGCCGAGAATTGGCCGAAATCGACAGGTACTGCCACTCCTCACCTTCATTCAAGGCATACTCCTTCAAATAGCTGAGGCAAATTGCTAAGAACGCTTGCATGCGCTTCAATGAATTCAAGTCAGCCCAGGTCGAAAACGACACATGTGAAAAGCAGAGGCCTCCAAACAATATTCTTCTTTGTATAACCCTTGTTGTACATTTTGTGAGCACCATCCCCAATCTAGGTCCACGCGGAAACAAGTCACCAAACGGCCTTTTTGCAATGCAACACATGATGGGCTGCCTCGCATAGTCATGCAGGGGCGCGGCAAATACACGTGGGCAATATGACAGTCCTACGCAAGTGGCCCCAGGTGAATTGGAGCCGGGCGACTTTCCCAGCGCCGTCAGCTTGGTAATTATCCGCGTAGCTCGCGGCGTGCGCTTACAGCGAGAGATGATGTACCTCGGGAAAGTAACCGAAGCGGCGATCTCCGCAAAACGGGAGTACGAAAACAATAGAAATCTCAACAGCGAAGTGAAGATTAAGGGGTAGTTTTTGGCAGATGAATGTTTTCATAGGCGAGAAGTTCCAGGAAGGAGTGTTGTCCGCAGGGCCGAAATTCCAGAGGAGTGCTTTTCCCGCGGCACCCGCCAAAATTCCTGGGGGCGGCTGTTTGTGCCTAAAGCCACCAATAAACCCCCCAAGAAGCCACGAAGAGACACAAGCCGACTTCCCTAAACCCTGAACCCGGAACCCTGCAGCCACAACAGAACCCAAAGCCCCCAAACCCGAAGGCGCGTTGGATCCTGAATGATGGCATTACTGGTCGCGGCTACGTTGTAGTGTTAGGGGTGTCAGGTGTCTGAGGCTCGGTTCGGGTGGTTCGGGCAACCTCAGCACGTGGCCATGGACTGGAGAAATCCAGACTGGCTTCGGTTGATTCGGGGGCCCAGCAGCAGCAACACTGGCATCTCCGGTGGGATGTCCAAGACCGTGGACGCATAGCCATCAGAGTGACCGAGGAGGGCCCTCCCAATCTGCAAACATCCTGCGAGGTTCCTCCAAATGTGCTTTGAAAATGTGCGCTGAGTGTGTTCTTTCCGTTCTTCCAAGGTGGACCAGCCGCCTTTCTTCTGAAGTCATCACAGGGTGACAAGCATTTATTACATTTATAAGCTACAAGCTGCCCATGTTTCATATTCCGGGTATGGTTGAAAGAACATAAGAATATGTGTAAAGCCATGTTTCAATCAAGAAGTAAAAAAATCTAAATAATAATATATACAAATGGTTCTATATAATAGGTTCAAATTTCAGAAAAACAAGAAAATGCATAAGAAAAAATTGGCCCGACATGGGGGCAACTGGAGCGAGCACCTGCCTTGGCCTACAACCGCCGGCCGTGCATGCGGCCCCCGAGGATGTGGAGCACCAAAAATCCACCATGGACAATGCCCAAAAGTTCCAGCACTACAAGCAGCTCACCCAGCGCAGGCAAGAGAGACTGGAGGAGATGGGGGCCTTCCGGGCTCCAACCAATGCGCGACGAAGCTTCGAGCCCCAATATGGAACCGTCAAGGATGTGGCATCCTACGACAGCATGGCGGTCAGGGCCACCGATGGCTCCGAGACCTTACTAAAGCATGCCTTACCCGTGCCCCACGGGAGCGCTGAGCCTAAAGGGCCTAAAGCGAGACTCACCCGCCCACCAGTGCCGTTGGCAATCAGGCAGCTGAGAAACTTCAATCCAGGGCCTGCTGCCCCGCCATGATTCTTTTCATGCATGATAAATGAGCTCTGGGCTGTCAGCTGCATGTGAAGCTGTCACGCAAGATCCTTCTGAGAAAAATCTGGAGAGCCTGCTGGATTGTTGGTCACCACAATGGAAGCATCGCGGACGCCAACGAGGCATTGGCTCGGGATCTTGTGACATTTACTGCACCCTTGGACTGTATGCCTTCGGAGGCAACGCCCCTTGCATGTCGAAAGCATCCGCCATGAAAGAAGCATGCGTCGCAATCAATCATTTCTTGCAAGATCGCTTTCCAAATGGAAAATGGACTTCTCTCGCGGTGATTCTGAATCCTCACATAGGGCTCCACCGCGACATGCGTTTTGAAACGAGGTCCGGTCAAATCGAGGAAGAAGGACTTACAGTCAGAGGCCACGCCACAACAGAACGCTGTTTTGAAACGCTGGATATAGAGAGAGACTCAGGCAAAACTGCGGGGAAGTACACTTAGCCTACACTCCGGCACTCACCACCGCAAATGGTGAGCAGGACTTTCTGGGAACTTTCCATTGACCACCAAGCTGACGAGCGCTGTGCCGCGTGAGATCGTTCCACACGGCTCGGGCAGCAGCAAAGGCGGAGCGGCAACAAGAAAAGTCGTTGAGTCTTGCCTGCATCCAAAGTAAGCATATACACTGGCACAAAGCGATCAGGCCCAAACCAAGACCGCTGCACCAAAACCAAAGAAATCCAGGCCACATGCTTCTTTGCTGGAGTGCTGAACAGAACCCCCCCCTGGAAACCCTAAAACTTGCAATTACCAGTTGAAAAGACAAGGGCAAAACATTGTTGAGGGCTCGATTTGTGCTATCAGGGTTCATGCGTTCAATCTGCTGTTGATATCCTTGCCTGGGAACAAGGGCAGGTTCCGCCACGAAGCAGTGCCACTAGTTGGAAAACAAGTTCTTTCGAATTCTGTGCATCAGCGAGCCTCCGCGCCACCTGCAACTACAGGCAAGCTTTAAGGTTCAGGAACCTAGTTTGGTAGGCCTGGGCGCTATAGAGTTTTGAAGGTTATGTGCACCAGCACCTGTGCCCTGGTTTCCTCCCCCCTCCCTGTGCTGTGGTAGTGCGGTTTTGCATCTAGGGTTTTAAGATTCGGGGTTTCAGCGGCTGAGTTTTTGCAAGGTTTGTTCAAGGTCCCCAAACCCCAAACCCTAAACCCTAACCCCTAAAACCCGAAACCCTAAAACCTTAACAGCTGAACCAAAGCTCAGGCTTGGGCGGCTGAGAAAGCCAAGCATGGGGTTCCACGATGGAACCTTTAAGATTGAAAACTGAAATGCACTAACCGGCCCACACAACACCGAATGCACCAATCAATACACCTCACCGCTCTGCTTCCAACACAAAGCTGCATCGATGGTTTGACCTAACTTGCAACTTAGTTTTGCAAGAACACGGAAGTCAATTAGTTATTAGTGGGCTTATTTATGTTTTTGTGGATGCCCCTCCTTTCCCTGCCCCTTCCCTCCCCTGCAAGACTCCCCCATTCACAGCCAAGTTGACCGTGTGAATGCTCCGTGTCACAAACTTTAATACATGCTTGTTGGGATCTCTCAAGTTGCAAGAGAGGGATGTGTTTCGACGCTCGGCTCTGGTGCCTACAATAGCTATTTACACGTAAACCTACAGCCCAAAACCCGCAATCCCCGTGGCTGCTGCTCGGCGGCGGACCCGGTCTGGGCTGGCCTCGGTCAGGGTGTAGCGCTTCACGGCTGTGGCTTTTTGCCGCCAAGAGTGGGAAACGAAGGACCATATGCCGTGATGACGAGGACTTCACTGCAGATAAGGGAGCAATGCAATACCTCTTTATGGTAAAGTTGAAATTGAGCTCCCATTAATATTGAAGAATGGCCTCTCCCTTAGCTGCCACCCAGGAGGTACAACAGCACGTAATGTCGTTGCTCCTGTGCATCAAGGGGCGATCCTCTTTCTGCCGAGGTGCCACTCGCGTGACCTTCTTAAACAGACTGGGATATGCCCTGAGACTATTTTCACCTTTGACGTTCAGACAGGTAACACCCTTCATCCTCCCCTTCAGAGACTGTACCTATCCGAAAAGAAAACCTTTACCACGATGTTGATACGCAAGCTAAGCCTACACTTGTGCCAAAAGAGGCTGGATCTGCTCTGCCGAGCCGCACGGACTCTTTAGTTGCTCATCAGAGCAATAATAAACAACCCCCTGCTGGTGGTGAAGGTGTGAGGTTAAGTAAAAAAGGTGCTTTGAAGGATTTCTCCGATGCTGGTGCTTGCAGAAAACGGAACACTTCTCTTAGGTTCCATTCCCAGCTCAATGCGCGAGAAAATACACAAGAATCTGGCAGGCCTATACTGTCCGGTTGCGGCTGTCTATCGTGTTATTTCTTGCACGCAGTGGTCCAAGGAGAATTGCGTACACTTTGTGCCATTCTACAAACAAGCCGCTCTTGTTCTTGCTGCCTCTGGCCATAGCATTGATGAGACCTTTAAAGCCAGATTGAGCCACCCCATTGTTGAGACTTACATCAGTCTGGCAAACGAAAGGCCCAGTGAGCTCCAAAGTTTCACTGACGTTTATACTAAGGCCATTGCAGCCATCCCTGCAAATGCACAATTTTGCCTTTTGCTAAATATTGACTGTAAGTGTGCCAAATGCCAGCAGCCGGAACCTGTGACCGCTTTGCCATTGCATTCATTTCAGGACTCTCAACAGCAGCCCAGTCTTTTTGCTGATCTAGGGCAGCTGACTGATCTTGCAATTTCACAACTTCAAGGAAACAGCAGTCCTCGAAATGACACATGCTTTCTGCATGTCCCAGGCTTCCCAAATTTCTTCTGTGTTTTGACACAGAAAACGAGAGAAGGAACACTTGCTGCGAAAAGTAAAAGTCAGGATGACTTGAACAAGTTCCTTGGTAGCACCATTCAAGTTAGGCAGCATACTTATCAGGTCATTGCTCTTGCGCTTCATGATCCGATCGCGTTGCATTATCTTGTTGTTCATCACGCCAAAGAACAACAACAAGGAGACTCCATCTTTCTCTATGATTCAATTCAGGGGGTTCAAAGCAAGGATATCTGGGCTACTCTGCTTAGTCGCCCTGAGCTTCAAATTAAAGCCATCCAGATCAGGAGCGCACATGTTAACGCTTTTTACCCTGCTATTGCACTACAAAATTCTCTTCCAGAAATCATTAAGCAACATGCTGAGCCTGAGGAGCGTAAGTTGCATCAACCGAATGGCACCTTATCGCGAGAGAATGACCAACAGTGCTCTGGAAAGAATCCTGCGTGCGAGGGCAATCCTGCTCTTGCTAACCCACACAACACTCCAAATCTAAGACCTGGAAAAGCCAGTCCTGACCTTATGAAGAAGATCCATCTTACCGCTGCTAGTGAGATCGGTTCAGATCTTGCTAACCAAATTGGTGTTGGTAGGCTAACTGGTGAACATAGAGGAGCTTCAGATGAGCAGGGCAGGCAATCACCCGTTACATTGGTTGAGGAAGAACCAAAGTCCCAGCAAAATTTAGCTCCTGCTAACGCACATGATGCTCTAAGTCCAAAAGCTGGAAAGGCCAGTCCTGACCTTTCGAAGAACGTCCATCTTACCTCAGTTAGTGAGATCAGTCCTGATCCTGCTAACCAAGTTGGTATGGTGAAAATAAAGGTGCCTCACATGAGCAGATAAGCAATTGCCCGTTACCTTGAATGATGAAGAGCCCAAGTCCCGGCAGATCTCAAGCACGCAGATTGATGTGTCTACTGGACCTGAGCACTTCAATATTGGAACGGATGAAGAGAGCGAGGGCTCAGTCGCACACTGGGGACTTACAAGAGGATGATCTTCAGGTCATCTCTGTGAACCGCAAATGCGACATACAGCCAGTACATGTCATGATTGAAAATGCAGGGTCTATAAAGCAGTTGCCATTTTTTTGTAAGCGGGCGCCTCTTTACTACATCAGTAGCACAGTAGGCCGTTCTTGTGGGTCTTTCAACTCGGTGTGAAACGGATCGCCAGAAAAAAGGCAACAAAACCAAGAACAAAGAAGCAACCCAACCCACCAAAGCAGCCACAAACAACCAGCCAACAAACCAGAAGAGGGCGGCGACACTACTAAGAAAGACCCCACGCTCAGTGCCCAAGCTCGTCGATGTAGTCCCAGAGCGAGCCATAGCAGCACCAAGTCGTGTGGGGAAGCCGCAAAATGCGATTGTGTGCCAGAGAACAAAACCACCATCACGCAATCTTCAGAACAAATGGGCAACCTGAAGGTCAAATGGGCAACCTGAAGGTTGGATAGTCACAAAACCGCAGCTACCATTGCCGGCATTCCAAGCTCTGGCAGCGCGAGCCTACGGCCTACGCAAACGGTTGCAACGGCCGAAGTTCGACTGTTGTAGCAAACCGAAGTGATGCAATACACCATCGGGGCCTACCCCTCCCACAGGGAGGGCAGGCCAAAAGTGCCCCATGGTGATCAGCCAGGGTCTTACGTAATTAGCCACAGCAACTAACGATAGTGATCGGCCAATGATGCCCTTTAAGAGTCATTTGCAATGGAAATAAAGCGGACGCCTCTTTACTACATCAGTAGCACAGTAGGTCGGTCTTGTGGGTCTCGCAACTAGGTGTGAAACAAGTCGCCAGAAAGAAACAACAAAACCAAAAGAGAAGAAACAACCCAGCCAACCAAACCAGCAACACCACAACCAACCAAAAAACCAAGAGAGGGCGGCAAAACTACTAAGAAGACCCCACGCGCTCAGTCGAAGATGCGCTCGTCGAAGCGCCAGCGCTCCGAGAGCTCGTGGCACCAGCCGCCCGCCAGGTCGTACAGCAGCTGGCTGACCTTCAGCTCCTTGCAGACCTCTGCGCCCGCGAAGCTATCGAGCACGGCGGGCAGCTGCCGAAAGTCTCCCAGGAGCAAAAGCGAATCTTCTTGTTCAAGCTCAAACAAGCTATATCAGCCTACAGAGGAGTATCGAGTTGCGTCAGCTCTTCGATGACCAGCCACGTGGCGCTGCAGTGCCCGTCCCTCACGTTTCGCCGCACCCAGTGGTCCGCCGTCTGAGCCCCCAACCGACATTTTGCACAGCCGCGTGCGTCTTGGTGATGATGTGCACCGCGTCCCCGTGCTCCCGAAGGGCTTCCACGATCCTCTTGGCCATATGAGTCTTCCCCGTACCCGGAAAGCCCGTCAGCAGCAGGCTCTCGCCGTCCAGGCAGTGGTTCACGGGGTCCTCCACTCGGCGCCACGGCGGCTTCGCTCGGATGGGTTGCGCTTCCATGCTGGGCTCGCGGTACTGCCCCTTCAGCCCGGCCCCTCCTCGTAGCGGGACACGGGGGTGCCGTCACGGTGCGACATCTGCAGCAGCCGCTCCACGGTGGGCCGGTGCTTCTTCGGGACGTCTTGCATCACCAGGCAATCGGTCTTGATGCTCTTCAGGTAGCGCTTTGGCACGTCCGCCAAGGCCTGCCGAATCCGGGCCACTGCCACGTACTCGGCACCCATGATGTAGTCATGAATAGGTCGATAGGAACTGTTGGAGAGCAGCTCTGTGACAAAGATGTGATCCCAGTGCCTTCTCCCGGCGCCAGCTGCAGCCCTCCCCATCGGTTTGAAGTCTTCATGGAATAGACCAATTCCAGGTTCCGAGCAAAAAGCCCCACGAGGCTGTTGATGGCCAGCTTGGCGTAGTGCTCTTCCCCCTCAGGCCAGTTCTGCTCCATGCGCTCCAGGACCAGCTCCAGGCAGCGCTGGTCGACGTGCGCGGTGGCGTCCAGGCTCCACTTGAAGTGGCTCCACTTGGCCAGCCCCGCCTCCAGCATGTAGGCACACGCAGGCTTGGGGCACCACAGGGCAATCTATCCAGCACGCCCTTGCGGCGGTCGCACGGCAGCTCGACCCAGGTCAGATCTGCGAGCTTGCCCTCTTCTGCGGAGACGATGCAGTCCAGCGGGGAAAAGACGGGCAGCGGGAAGCGAGCATTTGCTAGGCCGTTCTTTCGGCAGCGGCGCACGTCGATGCCCTGGCAGGGGCGGGAGTCGTCTTTTTTTTTTTGAACCGACGCCTCTTTACTACATCAGCAGCGCAGTAGGCCGTTCTTGTGGGTCTCAACACTAGAGGTGAAACAGAGCAGGTGCGAAAACCAAAACAAACACACACCAAAACCACCACAAAACACAACCACCAAAACCCGCAGCAACCCGCCAAACCAAAGCACCAAACGTCTATGTGTCCCCCGCGCTCAGTACTCGAGGTCGTCGCAGAAATCCAGGTGTAATCGAGCAGCGCAGAGCATGCGGGAGAGTCGCAAAATGCGAGGGTTTGCCAGACTTTCAAAATCACCATCATGAAGCCACTGGTGCAACGAAGGTCGGCACGGAAAGCTGTAAATCGAGGAAGGACAGCAGAGTTACCGACCGACACGGTCAGGTGCCAGGCACACAATAGCGAAAAGGGAAGGTACAAATTGGCCAACTTTCCCAAAAGAGAGGCAAGGCCAGCACGCGCCCCATGGTGGTCAGCCAGTGGGGACTTGTTAGCAAGAACAACGGACGCAAGACCAGCCCAGGGCACCCCATGGTGGTCAGCCAGTGGAGCGCCCCGAGCAACAGCCGAGCAGCAACAGCACTTCATTGCCATGGACCCTCCCAATCAGGGTGTCGCGGACGATACCGTGTAGAGGGCGTTTCAGCACGCTTACCTGATTTTTTGGCTTTCATGCTGACTCCCCCAACAGCAGTTGGCGGGTCAGCGGCGAAGGTATTGCGGGGCAACAGACAGGCTTGCGTCAACTCCTCCTCATCGACCCCCCACGCTGGGATGCCAGTCGGGATGGGAACTCCTACATGCCATGCCATGTTGGCTTTGGCTGAATGCCACATCGTCCGAGTGGCCTCCTGCACTTGCCAATACTGCACAGCACCTTCTTCCCGGGACTGGAAGGGAAAGGTGGAGAGGGCAGTTGCAAGGGCCGAAGGCTCAGGCTCCTTGGGGTTGCCGTGGCAGTACATTTTATACCAGAAGCTGTTGAGGCGTTGCTTGGTTGGATGTTTGGATCGTGTAAGCCCCTTAAGGGCTGCCCAATGGGCGGTGGCAGCATCATACCAAGCAGGCCGGGCACGTTGGGGCCGTTCGGCGTTGTACTACGTCCTTGCCAATGCTCATCCTCGAGGGCTGGTAATCGAAAAGGGGTAGAAACATCCACTTCTCGCAAGGCCGCAAGGTCAGTAGTACGCAGCTCCGAAAATCGCCAATCATGCACCTGAGCTTCGAACTCGTCTGCCGCCTCAGGTGTCTCTGCAGTAGGTGCAGGCGAAGCCTCCTCAGTGTCAGAAGAGACGCAACACACCTCCGAGGGGGCCTGTGTCGTAGCCGCAGAGGGCTCCAAGATTGTAGGCGGCGCAAGGAGGCTCTCCAAGGGCAGCACTCGCCGGAGGAAAACCGCAACCCTTGCGGTTGTGTCAGGCCACTCCAAATTGTAGACGGACCAGAAGTGTTCAATGTCCTGGTTTGCAACAGAGGCAGCGAGGGCCTGCCGAATGGCATCAAGGAAGTGAACTGGTGGTACATTTGGCCTAAATTCTTGATACTGGCGATGCCCCAGTGTTTGCGAGCCTTGAAGCGAAATCCGGACAAACGCATTAAAGCTAGGTTGCTGTGCCAACCTGGCGGCTTCCAGATTTGTGTGCTTGGCAGCCTCCGCCCAGGCCTTCAAGGCCTCCTGCGATACCTGTCCGTGGACTTGGGGGAGTCCTTGGGGGTCCACCGCATATTTGGTTGCAGGGCACGTGGGCAGCTGATGCACGACCAGCGAGAAAGGCCACCATGGCTGCAGGAGGCACATTGACCTGTAGGTCTGTAATGCGATTGTCCGTCTCCGGGAAGCCCAAGACTACAGGCAGCCCGGCTGCTCGTCCCAAGGGACCCTTCTGGTGAGACTCAAAGGCGAGCAAAAGCGCCCCCAACCAGTAGTCTGGGTCGGAGTAACACATCATGGCCGGAAAGCTGGCATTGCTGACCCCTGGCACATCTGCGACAGCGAAGAAGAGATCAGCAATGTACTGAGCAGTAGTCAGAAACCCGTACCCGACAACCGAATCCGACAGCTTGGTTTTATCCAGCTGTGGTACTTGGCATGAAAGTATGTCCGCCAGATCAATGCGCTGTAGCGCCCCTGAGAGTCGCAACTCAGGCAGATGGAGGAGGGTGTCTGCAATGCCCAATAAGGGGTCCGGTTCCTGGAGCTGGTGTGGCAGGCGCAGCAGCAACTCTTCATAGGTCCTATACGCTCGAAGTTGTTGCCCATGCGTCGTCAGATGAGTCGAATCACGCAAGCACATGTAGGGCCTGGGCTTCACACTCCTCCCAAAATGGTGCCCCGCCTCGAGCGCACGCCACATGAGCCCACAAACAGAATTTTCACTTCCATGGGAAGGAAACTCATTGCTCGGAGTCCGTCGATCACGGGCGTTGCTTGGTTCGCCAGGCCGCCTTGGCCTGTCCGCTCACTGGGAGGCTTAACACAGGGTGATCTCGATGCATCTCTAGCCCACCCCGCTCGGAAGAAGCTGTTCGCAAGGGTCGAGCTTTGGGGCTAGGAGGGGAGCGGACACCCGGTGGCGGGAGTGTGTATCTGTTTGGGGGTTGCGCCTCCGATCGGCCGGTCATGACCCTGGGGAGGATAAGCCAGCTGGTCCTCCGCAGCCCATAGGTGCAGCATGAGGGCTAGCAGCGGCCTCCTGTGCATGCCTCCTCTAGACGCAGCTCCTTTGCCGGTCTCGGCGTGCCACACGGAGTGCGCGACGCCTCCCTGCGTGGGCGAAACCTGCCTCGCTATTGAACAGGAAGCCGGATGCCCGGCAGGTAACAAAAACGCAGACGCTAAAGGTGGGGCCAGTGGAGCAGGCCGTGGTGATGGCCATGAAGTAGCGTTTTAGGGCCCCAGCTTGTTTGAGAGGAAAGTCCTAAAGACCCCAATGTTCCAAGAGTGTGGCAATCCTGTCAAAGGGAAATCCTCCGAAGTTTGACATGCTTCCATGAGGCTCATGTGATCTTCGCCTAGCTGGTCTTCAGGGACACTAGAACGCAACAGAAACTTCATTTGTACCACGATTTTGGCATACTGGGAGACCAGCCCAATGGGCGCCCCGGCGAAAACCTGGTGTTCGAAGGTGAGTACAATGTCAGTCAGCAACCAGCTGAGGTCGTAACTATTGCCCAGTTTGCTTTGACACTCATCCTGGTCAGGCACACGGACCCATCGACGCGTCTCCATCCACCTGCCAGCAGGGCTGCGTAGCGGTCTCGCGAGCAGATGCTACAAATTGGGTCCTGGCGGCGTGCGCAGATAGGGAACCTGTCCCCTCAACTCGAAAAGGCAAGCCTCCGAGTATCGGCAGGCATACAAGACAGCAGAAATTTCCGGGGGAGGCGCATGGATGAGCAAAGCGAAAGATTGATGGCTGGACCCACAATAGCCTTGAGGCCTTGAGTCCCGCGACTTGCATGACTGTTTCGGCCTGTTTTGGCTTAACACAGCTTAGGCTTAGGCAGAGGATGGCTTCCAGCATGGAGTTGGCCGAAAACCCAGACTCCGTATAATCAGGGTGCAAATTGGGTTTGCCCCAGGAAGGCATATCTCCTTGCCCTTTTTTCCACGGTCCGGCGCTATTATGCGTTTGCCTTAGCAATGCTGCTGGTAGCGTGGCAGGCGTACACAGATCAGCCGGGACGGCATTGAGGCCGCATGTTTTTTGCTCCAAAAGCTCCGTCACATAGTGGTAATTCGGTCGGGATCCTCCTGCCGACTGCCTGTGATCCCCAATCATGACATCAAGCGCGTGTCGAATGTGAGCCAGAATGGTGTTGGAGCCAGGTGTGCCCAGTTGCTGTGCTTCATCCCTGAGCAGAAGCTCCACATCCTTCAACCACCGAGTATGGGAAGCTGAGCCGAGCAACTATAGTCCCATGTGTCGCTGCAACTAACAATCCCCCGGCCGCATCATGTGCGTCAAAAGGAAGCTTGTAGGTATCCTTTTCCTTGCTGGCCGGGACGCGAATGATGCGACTGCGGACGAAATCGTTGCTTGCAGCGGTTAAGCCATGTGCGGTGTAAAGGGTGAGTCTGTTGGTCAGGCAGGCAACAAGTACTCCCAGGAACGCACACGAGCGTGTTTTGCCGCTGCCAGGGGCACCAGTAATGAAGACAGAGGAGCGATTGGCACCCAAACCGTAAGAACAGGCTCCAATCAACGCCGCAAGATGACCGTCAGCCCCCCAAAAAGTGGGCCCCGCTGCAAGTGCAAAGACACTGGCTCGGCTTCTTGGGTCTTGCTCATTGCTTAGCGAGTTCGGGTTCAGGCTGAAACGCTCCGCACGCCACAGCGCAGGAGTTCGGGCGTCCTCTTGGCTGGGCATCGGCGCAACAGGCAGAGTGGCTAGAAGTCCAGCCAGCAACTGCGGAGTCCATTCCTTGGCATAGACTTTGTCTCCACTAAAAAGCTTGCGAGGAGGCCACTTAGAGGATCGTCATAACCGGGCCCCTCAGGATGAGAAGCCTTGCTGATTTGCGTGCTATGTCTTTTTTCTGAGGACCTGACAGACTACAGGGTGTATGAGATGGTGCCCAATCACTGTCGCCGCCTCCGTTTACAGCGGTGTAGAGACTGCCACCGACGATCAGGGAGGCCGCCATGCCAAGCTGACCTACTACACTCCAAGGGGCAGTCGGGCGCCTGCTCACTTTGAGCCGTGGTTGCGAAGAAGCCATGCGAAGGTGCACCATGCCTATAGCAAGCCTCGACGTCAGCAATAAGTCTGGCACTCGTGAATGGGATCATTTTCGCCGTGGCCGCACAAAGATGTGGCAAGAAGACCTAAGAGGGGGGGAGCTCAGGCGTGTGAGTGCGGGCGCCCTCACGTACCTGAATGTCCCCCCCCCCCCATTGAAAGGCCCATACTCGGCACTCTTCGGGGCCAGCCACAAGCCTTTAGTAGATCACCGAGTCGCCAGATATGCTCCCCCAGCGTGGGCGTATTTAGCGAGGGCTCACTACTGAGTGGGCTGGCAACCCTAGCGTGCGACAGCTGGGTCAGGTCCCAAGCCGTGACCTATCCGGACAGCGTCACCGGGCGATAGACGCGACCCAACAAACTGAAAACCGCGCGCACCGGAGATCTAATAAGGCTGTAGCTGCCGTGTGAGTGCGGGCGCCCTCACGCGGCGTGTTGAACCTCTACAGCTCTAATCTAGGTCCAGTTGTGTCCAGACCCCGTCTCCTGTGCTGGGAGAGGAAGAGCAGGGCATTGTTCCGCATTCTCGCGACACCCAGATCAAGCAACTCAGGGACGTGGAGCCTGATCGAGAGGTGGGTACAATTCACCCGTGTCACATTCGCTACGCGCTGAGTACTAGGGAAGACGGACGCTGAAGTCACATAACGCCTGCGTGAAACACCAATGATGCTGCCCCAACGCCTGCAAACCGCGGCCGCTGTCACCGCCTCGTACAAGGACGGTAGGGCAACCTCGTACTGCTCAACTCCAGGTGCCACGTGAGGGAGGCGAGCATAACGACAGCCCCACGTAGACTGATGTTGTCGCCATAGAGACACCTGTTCAGGCTCCGAGATGCAGACATAGGCAGGTGCTGTGCAGGCTGGTGCTGTGCAGGCTGGTGCAGTGCAGGCTGCTGCGCAGGCGGGGGCGCAGACACTGAGGCTTGAGGGCGCTTTGCCAAAATCTCCTCCATTGCGGCTTGGCGCGCAGCCAGGGACTCGAGCTGGGAAGTGAGGGCCGGCAAGAGGGACTCCAAAACCTGTACCTGCCCAGACAGCAGGGCTGTTGTGGGTCTCTTCGCCTTGGCTGGATGAGCAGATGGCTCCCCCTCCTGGCTGAGTAGAAAAGAACCCTCTCCTGCGCATCTCTGGCAGCAATCCAGGCCCTTGCAGCATCGATCAGCTCCTGGAAGACTGGTAATGCCTCGGGAGCGTCCATGTCGAAAGTATGCAAGAACTCCGGTTCCTCCTCCAGATCCATGGGCAGGAGTAGCGCAGCAGCCTGCTCCCGTACATCCACCAAGGTAACCGAGACTTGGCGGCCAAGTTGGGTCTCCGCTCCAGACTCGGTTTGAGCGAGAGCACCCGCTGTCACTTCTGTCGACGGCCCAATCAGCTCGTCCGGTGAGGCCGACTGGCCACGCTTCAACTCCGCTGTTGAGAAAGTGTCCACAGGCACTCCAAGCAAGAAGCCCCCAGCACGTGCTAGTATAACCAAACATTGCGCCTGAAAAGAAGCACCCGAGTCAGTCCTATCCAGCAAGTAAAGCTGTACCCCGTGTGTCAAAGGCACAACCTCTGAGGCATTCATTGCTAGTCGTCCCACCTCACGCCTGCAGCGCGGCAAAAGGCTCGACCTTCTGTCTCAGAAGCGAAGGCGTGCGAAACAGACAAGCCACTGGGAGGACTTCCCACAAAGCGGAAGTAGTCCCTGGCGGTGCGAAAGATGCGCGTGCAACGGACTCAATGTACAAGCGATTTGCAATGCTCAGTGCAGGAGTCACGTTCGGACTGTCTACCTGTCTCTGGAGCGTGGCCTGAGCCCAGCAGCCGGCGAGCCACGCCCTAGAAACCCTAGCTCTGCCGGCACTAACGGAACCCCCTAAACCAAAAGAGGCGGCAAGGAGATCTTGTGGGCAATCTGGGAAAGATGCGAGGAACTCGTCCCTATTCGGGCAAAGCGAAGACTGGCCCTGGTGAGTGCTTGGTGCTGGAAGAAGGACTAGGCACCAACAGGAAGGAGCTCTCCGAAGGGCTCTGAAGCTGCACAGGTGCCGGCTGGCCAAAGTCAGATTCCGCGTGCCTCAACAGGACAAGAATCGGGCAGTATCCCCAGCAGAACCTCTAGCAGAGACTCTAAGACCCCCAAAGATAACCTCAAGCTCAACTATGTCGATGTCTGAGGGCGTGGGGGGGCTGCTCATGCAAGTACCCTGCAAGCCGGCTCGAAGGGGCTGCCGGAGCAGCCGGTGGCCACAATGAGTGTCGGAACCTCACCAGAAGGGCGACGACTAGACCTATACCCGAAATCAACCCCAGAAGAAAGGATAATGCCAGGGAAGGCAGAGAGACTGGTCCACAATGAAAAGGGCAGGCGAGCCCGAAAATGGTTGGAGGAAACAGCGGCCTGAGCAAGTTGAACGACGCCCACGACACGATCCATACACTACCTTGAACAGCTTAAGATTGCGAAACACATTCAGTTGCCAGCTTACTGATCAATGAGCAATGCCTGGCTTCTATAGTCGGCAACTGCTTTTGTTCGGGAGCCCTCCGTGCTGCATTGCGCCACTCTTCCTCTCTCTAGGGGAGGTGTTCCGGTTCTCCACTCTGTGGTGGATACGGGGTGTGAGCTGACATGAGTGCATATGCATCTTCTGCTCTGTGATGCATTAGGACTCGGCAGACCACCTTGTAGTTTTCCTTTGCATGTAGAGTTTTGCAATTCGTAACAATGCCAATATTTTGGCTCAAGTACCGAGCTTGTGCCTTTGAGCACGGTAGAGTCGTACAGTAGCTCCTAGGTTGCTGTGCGGTCCGACCGGACGCACTCAGGCGTAGCTGCACAAGTGCTTGGACTCACGAAGGCGTAAAACAGCGTGACCGGGCTGTGATTGCTTTGGCTTAGTGCAAGTCCAGCGCTGGTCGACTTCACAATTGGGGGCTGTTCTGGGAAACGTACAGCTCTTGTGCCGACGGCCCGAGTGGGCAAGCATTGCTTTGCTTGTCTGTCGCGGTCCGTGACCTGGACGCGTGGACTGTGTGCCACGCTTGCGGCCTGTTAACCAAGGCGCGGCGCTTCGCGTGCCACGCCTGCGGCCTGCTAACCAAGGCGCGGCTTTTCGCCTTGTGTTGCGGCAATGTCCGCAGAGGTTGCAGGTCAGGCTGAGGGCGTCACCCTCCTCGAAGCTATCGAGGGTGGAGACGTTCCCTATCCCGAGCGGATGAGCTACGTCGCTTGGCTTTAGTGGCGTAGGGAGACTGGCAGCCGTCCATTGTCCAAGCGGGATGGGGTCAGCACTACGCCAGAGCAAGAGGCGGCTCTCTGGCGGAAAGTCATGAAGTTCCTCCATGACGCCGAAGAGGAGGACGAGGATGAAGAGGACTCCGAGCTAGTCCCTGAGGCCTCGGGCGCTGGAGGCGACAGTCCGCCGCGGGTGGACGTCAGCGCCGCGGCTAGGGAGCTGGCCACGGTCCCTACCGGTGCTGCCTATGTCCCTGCTACGGCACCAGGGTCCCGCCCGGCGGGACCGTCCGGTCCGCCGTCGACAGCAGGTTCAGTGCCAGGCACCGCAGAGGGCTTGCAGGCGGAGCTGCGCGCGATTTTCCGTCCAGACCAAGAACCGGTCGCGGACTACTTGACGCGCGTTTCGCGGATTGTCCTCGCGCTGAAAGCGCATGGAGTCACGGTGAGCTCCCGTGACCTTGACGCCTTAAGCACCAAAGCCACCCTCCTTGCGGATGAGTTCTCCAAGATAGGCGGGGACTGGCATCCTACGAAGATGGTCCGTCGGCTGCGGACCAGGTTCTCGGTCGCGGCTTTGCGCGGTGGCGAGGACCCCGAAGACGCAGAGGAGATTCAGCGCGAAATCCAATGCACCGGGGAGCTTATCCTCGCGTTAGGGGGAAAAGAAAGCTCGAGCCAAGAGAAGGTTTGGAGCTCCCCGTCCGATGTGCCAGTTGAAGCCGTGGGGCCGCGTTCCCCAGGGCTCCCACAGCCTACGACTGCAAGTGGGTTGGGGGTAGGATTGGACCGTGGAGGTTTGCACACTGCTGAGGTTGCAGGTGGTCCTTCCGCGGCCCGTGTCCTGGGCGCGACGGACGGCGATTCCCCTTTGCGCGCGAAGCTTGCTGCGCTAGAGATGGAGATAGAAGCCCTGAAGCGAGGTTCAGACGGCGGAGGTTCGCAGACCGGGTCCCAACACCCGGCGGGCGATCTCGCCGCCGCGCTCGCCGCCCAAACTGAGGCGCTGAAAGAAGCGTTAGCGCAGAGGGGCGGGCAGAGCTCCATAACTACGGTCAAAACTGACCTCACGTGGCCGACGCTGACCGACGACAAGTCGGACGCGCGAGACGTTGTCCTGTTCTACGAGGAGTTCGAGGACGTCTGCGCGCTGGCCAACAACTGTCGCGGTATGAGTGCGCGCGAAAAGCTGTTAGCGCTACGCGGGCGCTGCCGCGGCTCGCGCATGAAGACGTACACGAACGCGTACCGCGCAGCGTGGAAATCGGGAGAGGTTCTCTCAGATCCACAGGCGGTGTATGACCGCATCAAGAACAAACACTTGATGTTCGGGGAATCGCGGGAGGAAAGAGAAGTCCGCGTGGATGGTGAGCACGCCTCTCTCGCTAAGGGTAAGCTCACAGGCCACCAATTCGAGCCTTTGTTTGAGGCCTCGATCGCGGACCTTGAGGCAGTAGGTCTCGGGAAGACCCCTCGAGAGTTGTATCTCTCATACCTCCGCAAGATGCCCCCTTATCTCCAAAAGGAGATCCGGAACGACAAAAGGTTGTGGCCTGGCGACCCCAAGGATGGCGGGTTGCGAGGACCGCAGACTTGGGAGGAGAGCCACAAAGTCGTTCTGGAGTACGAGCAGAGAGAAGCAGCGCACAGGGCTGTTTCCCACTCTGTGTACACGGCCACCGGTTCGCAGAGCGCGGACCCGGCGGTCGCGCTGGCTGAGGCTCAGAAGGAGATTAAGAGTCTCAAGGCCGCTGCGAAGGCTGCTGCGAAAGGAGCAGCTGCCGCGGCCAAAGCTGGCGCGGACCAGACGTATGCTGCTGCGTCGAAGGGAGCTGGCAAAGGAGCGGACAAGAAGATCTGCTTCCACTTTCGCGATCATGGGAATTGCCCGAAAGGGGATGCCTGCCCGTACAGCCACGACAAGGAGCTTCGCAGAAAAGCTCTCGCGGCCAAGAAGGGTGACCAAACCTTTGCCACTGCGAAAGGTAAAGGCAAAGGGAAGGGAGGTGGCAAAGCAAAAGCCAACGCAAAGCCTAAGGCTGCGGCCAAAGGCGCGGCAAAGCCACCAGGCACTGTTTGCCCCTTTTTCTCCAAGAATGGGTCGTGCAAGAAAGGAGCCAGCTGCGACATGGTCCACAACCTGACGACCTCAGGAGGGACGCCGGCCTTGCCTGCCAACTGGGCCCCGCCCTCCGGTGCTTCCATGTCTAACCCCTTCGCCGCGTTCAGTGTCCAGATAGGCAGCTCAGGCGTCCAGGCAGGCGTCTTAGAGCCGCAGGACACGCCGCTGCAGCAGCACGCGCTTCCGTTAAGCAAGGGCGGGCGGGACAAGTTCGCCACCCTGGACGATCTACCGAAGGACTGGTGGAACCTGGCGGACAACGAGCCAGGAGGCTACCAGTACAGAACGGTGGTCCAGGTCCTCGACCGCAAAGTCGAGTGCATGCTTGACGGTTGCGCCGGCGCAAACCACGTGACTGAGGAACTCGTGGTAGGCATGATGAACCGGGCTGCAGAGCTTGGGATCGGCACTGAGGATCCTGGCTTTCCGGTCGTGAGACTTGAGAAGTGGGTCCACCCCGAATATGTGCATGGAATCGCATCGGGGGCCCCAGTTCCTTTGAAAGGGGCAGCAGTCTTGCGCGTCACGCTGCTGGAAGGCAAGACGGCGGACGATTGTCGCCCCAACACCGAGATTTTTGTGCGGTGTAAAATCGCAGCCAGAGGCACGTCCGATTGGCACGGACTTATCCTTGGCGGCAGAGCGCTGGACTGCGCCGGAAGGATGGGCTTGGGATTCAGGCCGGGTCCCGACTTTCATGTCCTCGACACGCTGGGAATCAGGATGCCCAGATGTGAGGATCACAGTAGGACTCGGAAGGACAGGGCCTATGCCTTTGAAGCGCGGTTGTCAAGCCTGGACGACGCGTCATGCATCGAGCCTGGGGGCGGAAGTCGTGAGCTTCTCCGCTATGACGGGGAAGAGCCGCTCGAGCTCTCGCCAGGTGATGGGGTGCTGGTGCCAGTCGTGCGGGAGTCAGGAGTCTCCGCAGAGGGATCCCTGTCCGAGGTTGTGCTTCCGGTTGAGTGTGGGGTTGAGGCTGTGCCAGGTCTCTGGCCCACAGGAGAGGGTAAAGGGTTTGTTTTGCTTGCAGCCCAAGAGTGTGATCACTCTCTCCAGCCAGGCGAGGTTGTTGCGGAAGTGCGTTCCGGCCTCGTCAGCACTGCGGCTTGTGGTTGTGGCGCGATTGAGACGGTGTTCGAGTCAGAGCCGTCTCCGCAGGCATGTGCGGATTGTGGGGTCGCCGTTGCTTCGGTTGACCATGACCCGTGCTTTGCTTGCGGGT